ACAAAAATAGCTAGGCAAATTTTGTAGCCGGCAATAAGTGCACATGCACATACAAACAAACAAACACACACACACACACACACACACACACACACACACACACACACACACACACACATACATTCAACATATACATACACTCACAAACACATACATTCATAAAAAAAGACTTGAAAAAGACGAGTGAAAGTGTCAGTGAACATAAACGCAAAATCCATAGTTCTCTGTAATACTGAGGTAAACAAGAGAAAGATTGGTGTACAAACATGCAGGACAATATCCAAGTGAAAGAGTAAACAACAAATTGCCACAATGGCCAATTTCTAGCCAGCATGACTACTAATTGATAATGGAAAACATCAGCCACTGTTCCGACTCTGGCGTCAGTGACCATGACAACGATGACCTGGTTAGAGAGTGTAGTCACCTTTAACCTGTATGTGACAAACAAACAAATACATGATGTACACATCATTTATACACACACACGTACACAAATACATGATGTACACATCATTTATACACACACACGTACACAAATACATGATGTACACATCATTTATACACACACACGTACACAAATACATGATGTACACAACATTTATACACACACACGTACACAAATACATGATGTACACATCATTTATACACACACACGTACACAAATACATGATGTACACAACATTTATACACACACACGTACACAAATACATGATGTACACATCATTTATACACACACACGTACACAAATACATGATGTACACATCATTTATACACACACACGTACACAAATACATGATGTACACATCATTTATACACACACACGTACACAAATACATGATGTACACATCATTTATACACACACACGTACACAAATACATGATGTACACATCATTTATACACACACACGTACACAAATACATGATGTACACATCATTTATACACACACACGTACACAAATACATGATGTACACATCATTTATACACACACACGTACACAAATACATGTACACACACACAAACTTGTACACGTGCACACACACACACACACACACACACACACACACACACACACACACACACACCATGCACCATGTACCATGTATACGCCTGTCGCAAGAGAAGCACGGAAATCTGCAAATGCACTGGACGTGCACCCACAGATTTTCTCTAAAAGCAACGATAGCGAACAAAATCTGAATAAGACAGATCAAGACCTGCGCCAGATAACTGTCTAATCCACACAACTGGCGAAGCAAGGTGAATCGAACACAGTTACTAAGCACATCCTACACTTGCTGGGGTAACCAGTATATACAGCACGCTGCTTTGATAGAAGCAGACTCTAGATGCACTGGTACCTTGAAGTGAAATTGGAGTTATATAACCAACCAGCCTCGGCTATGAGTACTGGGAACCCAGAGCCAACAAACATACCAACAACCTCAGCCATGAAAGATATTATAGTAAGGACACACTGGATTGTGGAGCCGAAACTAGTTCAACTTCCAAATGCTTACACACACACACACACACACACACACACACACACACACACACACACACACACCTCACCTCACCTCACCTCAGACATGCCCATCGCAGAAGCAATGATAGCGAATAGCTATGTTAGACATAGCAACTTGTGCTGGGATTACACCATTCAACAGCTTGCAAGGCTGATGAATTGACCGCCACTATTTTTAGCCTGGTATCCACCACACAGCTGTTTGAAGTGACTTTTTCTGGCCAGTGAATCCCTATTTTTTCATTTTGCATTTTTTTCTACACGCACACACCACACCACATACTCCGGCATACACACGCACACGCACACGCACGCACGCACACGCACACACACACACACACACACACACACACACACACACACACACACTCACATGCACACACATATACACACCACGCACGCACATACACACACACCACGCACCGCACACGCGCACTCACTCACACACGCACGCACACACGCACGCACACACATGCACTGAACACACGTCAGTGCATACTTGGTCCGTCTAGTTAAAATTGGCGCATATCTTCGCACTTGATAATAAATTGATTTTTCGGTGATATGCCTGTGTTATACGACATGGAAGCACCGATTCACCATCCTAACATAACCATTGAGCATTGCTTCCGACGACATGACAGTTTCTGCTTACTTCCAGCTGTCTGGTGGCGAGAATGGTTGACCGCGGGGAATTTAAGAAAAGCTGGAAAGTGCTTCACGAGCTTGAATTTCAGTGCTCGCACAGTACAGCGCCCAAGTGAAGAGTTATCACCAGCAAATCGCTGACGAAGAAACTACAGCTCATGTAGACATCTCCAGAACATGAGACCAATCCGGCAGACACACTTTGAAGCTCACAGAGGACCGGGCAAAGGAGCTAATCAAAATAAACACCAAGTCCTGAGGGAAACGCTCGTGCAAAGGACTTTCAGGAAAGCAGCCGAACAGACTGGTGCAAGGCCTTAGGACTTAGGAAATTAGGTGCAGTAGATCTACGCACAGGTGTTACATCAATTAAGTGGAAGCTATCACTGCGCTGCATGGTATGGGAGGGCCTTCAAGCAGCCAAACAATTTTCAAGTAGATGTCATGGCAACCGGCAGTGGTGATGTAATCATATAGGAGTGTGCTGATCACTGACCTGATTAGACTCGATCACTCTCCTTCAGCAAACTGTTCATCTGCTCAAGCCGTGTTGTGTACAGTTGTCCATAACCCTTGACGATCTTGCACAGCTTGATGTAGCCATCACGCTCCTGTGCCATGATAATATCCAGCAGCTCACAGTTGTGGGATTTGCCACCGTGGTTCTTCTCAGTGATCATAAGCCTGCTGACCTGATCCAGATCCGTAAAGAAGCCATGACTCTGAGCTTTGTCACGTAGGCCAGCAGCACCTAGTGATTGCAGCCAGATGTGGATATCATCAATGAAGATGGCATGCTTGAATGGGTTCTTAAAGAACGTCTCTGAAAAGCAGAAAGGAACGTGATCATATATTGATGATGCCAATATACAATCTGATACGGTACTGTTTCTGCCAAAGCAGCAAAGGCAGTATAAATGTTCTGCAGACAAAGTGCCCGTTACGTCAAATGATCAAATACCCTTAGAAACTATTCCAGCCCGTCAATTTTATTAAATAAGCAACGAGGAGATAATCGATTTTCCTGATAAGTCTCTCATGAAAATTGATAGGAAATTTTGCTTTTATATTCATCATATTCTTCTATTCTTTTGTTTCGTAACCTCTGCCTCACTTATACTATTCCTGACTTGTTTTATCGATTGAACGCGTCCTTCTCGACATCAAGTTTTTAAGTTGTGCATTTGCCTCATAATGCATGCTGCCAGAACACTCTGGTTGACTTTGCTATGAATGAAGGCAGAGTTTTCACATCTGACAATAACGAGATTGCTTCCACACTTCTACAACTAGATACCTGACAATAACGAGATTGTTTCAATACTTCTACACCTTGGTGGATCTACCTGGCGTGGAATTTGCATTCACTTTGCTTGCAGTACTTTTCTTTTCTCCAGCACATTTCAGGACAGGATGATACAGATTTTGCTCTCGCTCGTTTTTGCTCTCACTTTCATTGTTAAAACTCACACTTGTGAATTTCACTGCTGTTGTTCTTAGTGTTATTTCTCTAACTTAGATTTTCTATGATAGCTACATTTTGTTTCAGTGTCCTTTAGTACAACAACGATTCGTGATGAGTGGTGCACGAAAACTTGTTCGAATCCTTGTTTTCTCTACACAATTTCTGCATATTTTCATCGTTTTATTGTACATTGTCTCCACCGTTTCACATTGTATGAATAAAGTGTACACAAATGTCGATTCAGCTTGTCTTATTGATTGCGGTTATCATATTATTGTCTCCTCGCCATTTGTTTCGGGAGACCTCGGTTTTTATAATAGTTTTTATTGGTCATAAACCCTCGACCTCCTCATTTATTGTATTTAGAATCAACCAGTAAAAACTCCTACTCAATCTCCAACACCAAAATTAGTGGACAGCTGTTATTTATGTTGCTATGACAACTCGTGTGCTGGACGAGTATTTGTTGTCATCGGTTCAATTTCTTTTACTCTTCATAGGCTATCAGATCCTTTTCCTTATTCGGTCTATTTATAACCAGTATCTATAATGAGAGTGTGGTCTGTCTCCATTGTTTCCGGTGTTCATTTCATAACTATAGCCACTTCTCCTTGTTAGACCTTATCTGGAAGGCCAGTTCTTGCATATTCCAACAGCAGCCAAGGGAGCTAGCTCTCTTTGTTATGGGGACTGGGTCCGATCCTAAAAAGCTGTTTTTATGAACTGTTTTTATGAACTGTTTTTATGAACTGCTTTTATTGGATAGGATACGATTATGTTGAATAAACGAGGTTTGCGTCAATGGGAGATTGACTTGGAGTTTTTACGAGTCGATTCTAAATATACTTATACCTCTCCATATTCACCTTATCATCCCTACAGCCCAACAAACGAGTCACGTTGGTCATACATGTACATGTACGCAGAACAAACTTAAGTCGTTGTTACTTCACTACAGACTGGCATGTTCTTGCATGAATCGGAGAGTGATGTGTTCCTGACAGAGTCTTGTTCAACTTTTTGTTAGGATCGATCGTGTACACATACAGCACCGAGTACTGCTCTCTTTACAGTAAGTATGGAAAAGTGGTGAATAAGTGGTGAATATCTAGCAATATCCACCACTTCTGTTGATAGTCAATTGCATGTGGGTGAATATGGAATGAAGTATAAGCCAGTGTATATAGAGCAAGAAGGTAGACAAGAAGGTATGTATTTTTGTGTGTTTTCGTGTATGTATATAGCATACAGGCAGACTAAGACAACAATGGTAACAACACACAAATTGAAGGGCAGTTGAGTGCAACTAGATGAGAACAGGATAAAGAGAGCAGTCTTATGTTAAAAGGAATAACGCACCTGTTTCTTCAGAGAGCTCCGCTTCATCCTCCTGATACAGGTTTGCAATGCGTTCGTCCGTTGACCACATGGCATGGCTGAAGATACACACGCACACCCACCCACCCACACACACACACACACACACACACACACACACACACACACACACACACACACACACACACACACACACACACACACACACACACACAAACACACACACACACACACACACACACACAAACACACAAACACACACACACACAAACACACACACACATTCAAAATGAACAAACATGGAACATACTAACTACTTCAATCGCCTAGCGTCGTCCGGGTTATGCGTGGTATCTACAATCAACGACCGCCATTGCCTCGCTATTCACGTACGTGGGACGTGGCCACTGTTCTAGAATACATTCGGTCATTGGGCCCGAATACTGCTTTGACCCTGTCGCACCTGTCCTGGAAGCTGTGCATGCTGCTCGCACTGGCTAAGGCAGCAAGAGTAAGTGAGATCTGTCACTTGGATATCCGCGCAATGCGCTTCCTGGCAGATGGTGTCGAGTTTGAGCTGACTCACGTCACCAAAACACAACGCTCTGGCGGCCCGCGGAAGTTCTTTGTGCCAGGTCTGCCGGCTGATCCGATCCTGTGCCCAGTGGAATGCATCAAAGCCTATCTGGATGTGACTAGGTCCAGCCGCACTACACCAGCGCAGAGTGCTCTCGTTGTGTCCACTCGCCGACCCTTTCAGCCAGTCTCGACCTCAACTGTCGCCAGATGGGTGACAACACTGCTCCAAGCAGCGGGTGTTGAAAGTGACTTCTCAGCCCATTCTACGCGGAGTGCCTCCACTAGCGCTGCACGACAAGCCGGGGTGTCATTGGCGGATGTGTTGGCGACAGCTGACTGGTCACGGCCCAACACATTCATCCGCCACTATTACCGACCGCACAGCCAAGCTTCTTTTGGCCAAGCCGTCTTGACGGTTAGCACTGGGTGAGGAGTCTTCTACAAGTGCGGACTGTGGTTCCGATTTCTATGCATGGTTTCTCATAGTGATCATGCCTTGCGCGCCTGCTCCCTGATTATTTCACTATCCATGCCGTTTCTTTGCTTGTGTGGAACACTACAGTTGAATCTGTTTCATATTGATTTGAGAAAGTGTATCTGTCCTCAGCGGTTATAACATGCTGTTTCCTTCCAGCTTCTTTCTCTTGACAGAGTGTAGTGTCGATGGCAACATACATTAGCCATTAATTTCATACCTTGCTACTCATGTGAGGTCTTTTCTTTAAACATCACACTGTCACATTCGTAGCCGGAGCCTCCGAGGTGTAATTAGGAATTCCGCTAGGACCTGAAAGGTCTGACGTGGAATTCAGGTTACACTAGGAGGTGAAGGCGGAGAATGTGACAGTGTGTTCCCACCCGCGCCGCCCCTGTCTCATTCTCCGCTGTCAGACGTTGCCTTTTGCTTGTCCATAAATGAGCTCATCAAAGGCCAAAGGAGTGAGGGAAAGGGCGGGAATATCAAGGGGACGAGGTTGGAGTTTGTGTAAATTTTCTCTTTAAATCGCTGTGAATTATTTGAAAAGCGAAGATTTGAGGCCTAACACAGAAAAGTATTTCATGAGATAAATCGATACTTGCACACACATGTAGATGCCCATATTGCTGGCCGCACTCCTGAGCGCATTCCTGCTCACACTCTTGCCAACGCCCAAACCCCTGCCCACACTCCTGTCCGCACACTTTGCCCACACTCCCCTGCCCACACTACCCCCCCCCCCCCCCCGCCCACACTTCTATGCCCACACTTCTATGCCCACACTCCCCTGCCCACACTTCTCTACCCACCCTTCTATGCCCACACTCCCCTGCCCACACTTCTCTACCCAATCTTCTCTACCCACACTCCCCTGCCCACACTCCCCTGCCCACACTTCTCTGCCCACACTCCCCTGCCCACACTTCTCTGCCCACACACCCTGCCCACACTCCCTGCCCACACTCCTCTGCCCACACTCCCTGCCAACACTCCCTTGCCCATACTCCCCTGCCCACACTCCCCTGCCCACCTTTCTCTACCATGGCTCCGGGTTCACGGATATGTGTTTACTGGCTGACATCATACCATCCTTGGTTAGTGCACCCACACAGTTACTGGCCACAGTGTGAGCGGACCTAGCTTCCCCAGTTGACCCCCTTTCAGAAGAACAGTGTACACTCTGCCCAGACTCCCCTGCCCAGACTCCCCTGCCCACACTTCCCTGCCCATACCTCTCTGCCCATACTTCTCTGCGCGCATTCCTGATCACACTCCTGCCCACACTCTCCTGCCAACCCTTCTCTGCCCACACTCCCTGCCCTCTTTTCTCTGCCTACACTCCCTGCCCACACTCCCCTGCCCACCCGTCTCTGCGCGCATTCCTGATCACACTCCTACCCACACACCTGCCCACCCTCCTGCCAGCCTTTATGAACACGCTCATACTCCTCCCCTCACTTCTCTGCTCGCATTCTTGATCACACTCCTGCCAGCCTTTCTGAACACGCTCATACTCCTCCCCTCACTTCTCTGCTCGCATTCTTGATCACACTCCTGCCCACGCGCCTGCCAGCACTCCTTCCCACACTCCCTCCCGCGCAGCTCAGTCCTGCCCCCACTCCTCACTACTACCTACACTACTGCCTGCACTACTGCCTACACTACTGCCTACACTACTGCCTACACTGCTGCCTACACTACTGCCTACACTACTGCCTTCACTACTGCCTACACTACTGCCTACACTACTGCCTACACTACTGCCTACACTACTGCCTACACTACTGCCTACACTACTGCCTACACTACTGCCTACACTACTGCCTACACTACTGCCTACACTACTGCCTACACTACTGCCTACACTACTGCCTGCACTACTGCCTACACTACTGCCTACACTACTGCCTACACTACTGCCTACACTTCTGCCTACACTACTGCCTACACTTCTGCCCGCACTACTGCCTACACTTCTGCACGCAGTTCTCTTCACACACTTTACCCAGGCGCGTAGCACCTCCGTTGGCGGTGGTCCGGCCAGGGGGGGGGGGGGATCTCCCCCCGGAAATATTTTGAAATTAGGGTGCAAAATCCTGCATTCTGGGCACTTTTGGCATTGTTTTTCTATTTCCAAGAAAACAACTATGGACAGCATTCAAAGCCTGTTATCTCATCCACCATTGAATAGGTGTACAAAACTCTCAGCAAAACTAGCGAGGAAAAGAAATGCAGGCAAGAAATAATAATATGTGACAGATGGCGTAGAATATGCATTGAAACAATAAGTATAATATTTATAACTGTGCATGGTCCTACTGCTGTGTACGAAAGCCAAACCCGCGGAAATAAGACAAGAAGAGCAATCACAGGCAAACTGCTAGCTGGGTTACTTAGCTGCAAGATCAGCATCCGTGAATGTGCCAAATATTGAGCGGCGGTGATCACTGCTGGTGACATCGACGAAGGCATTGCCCAACTACACCACAGACAGTGCATCTGTCCTGTCCTTGTGCGTCTGGAGGAGCATGACTGAATTTAACCGACTCTGGCCCATTGTGGAGCGGAGATAGGTCTTGATTCTCCGCATTGCTGAGAAGGATCTCTCGCTGATGGCATTGGTAGCTGGGCTTACCAGAATCAAGCGCACCAGCTTCACAACTTCAGACAGAAGCTGCCTCTGAGAAGTGGAGTAGCCCCGCAAGAACTTCAGCACAGACCTAAACGTGACATCGTCATCAGAGGTCAGCTGCGTCTGAAGGAGGGAAAACTGGGTCAGAAGGAGGTTGGAGTCGAGATCCTCGCCGTACAACTCTGTCACTGCCTTGAACTCGTCTGTAGCGTCAACCCCTTTGGCACTCTTCAAGAGAAGGTTCTCCATCTGCGTGTATATGGCGAAGCCCTTCTGATTAAACCGGGTCTGGATGGAGGACTTGGCACTGTCAAGCACTTCATAATACAGCTGCCGATAGCGGCTTTCCGGGGAGCTGGGGTGGTATGCTGGCTCATCTCCACATTCATACCTATGTGGACGTTTGCGTTTGCGAGGGAACTGCGGTTCAGAGACATCAAACTGGTGACTTTTTTCCACAGTAGCCTCCCAGAACATCGAGAATGAATTCTCTGTGCGCATCTTTGTGATTGTGTTCACCGTCAAACGTGCTATTTTCTGGGCTTCGGCAGCAGACATTGTTGAACTCTGGAGGGAAACAGAGAGGTTGTCACCATGTGCCAGGACAAGATGGGCCAAACTGATTCCAAAGAAGAAGTTGAAAGTCTCCATTTGAGCCTTCACTCCGATTACGCGAGCATGCACGTCGGGGTCCACACTCCCAGCCAGAACTTCATCCCACAGTTCTTGCAAGACCAGATAGTTATCCAGGATGCTTTGCAGACTCTTGCCTCGCACTGTCCAGCGGGTCGGGCACAGCACACGGAATCCTGGTGTGTTGGGCGAGATCTCACCCTTCAGGACGTCAAATCGGGCATTCCGTTTTTGCGAGTACTTAATTAACTTGCTGATCTCGCTGGTGACATCGAGGGAATCTCTGGTCAGCACAGTCGTCTTGATGGTGTCGCACATTGCCAGGTTCAGAGAGTGCCCGTAGCAGTGCACAAAGAGAGCCCTTGGCTCTTCATCTCCCAACTGCTTCGCGACACCAGATCTGTGGCCAGCAATATTTGAGGCACCGTCGTAGCATTGGCCTTGCCAACATTTGAGTTGGAGGTTGAGTCGCAGCATGCAGTCCCGGATAGCCGCAACGATCGTATCTGCAGATATGTTGTCAATCTGGCACAAACCAACGAAATCTTCATGAGCTTCCAACTCCTGGTCAACCCACCGGAAGCACAATGCCAGCTGTTCCTTGTTAGATACGTCTGCGCACTCATCGGCCATTACGCTGAACACCTCAGCAGTATGGATGGACTTGGCCACATTCCGGAGTATGATATGCGACATTAGCTGAAGGATTTCTTTCTGGATTTCGGGGGAGCAGTACTTGTCCCCACGTCGCTCCAGCCAAGCACGCAACTCGGGAGTATGTAGCTTCTGTAGTTGCAGCAGTTGCATAAAGTTCGACTCTGCATCGTCGTGGCCACGCAAGGGAAGACCTTGGCGACCCAAAAACTTCATGTTCTCTAGGATTCTCACGAACATTCGCCGATTCAGGGCTTTCTCCTTGGCATGGGCTTGACTTAGCGCCTCACCAATGTCCGGGACAGTCTGCGGTAGCACAAGCATCACCTGGACAGCGTCGATATGACACAGCGACTTTTCGTGACGGCGGAACCCCTCCGTGGCATCTTTCCAATTTTTGAAGCCCTTAGAAATGAAGGCCGAGTCCTTCGATGGCACTTTCAGCTTCCCTCGCTGATCAGCAAAGGAACACAAATGGCAGGTCACAGAATCCGTCGACTCGTCGTAGTGCAACCAGTTGAATTTATCGAACCAAGCTGGTTGAAACGGACGCTCAACGATCGATGTTCGCCCGAAACTTCGCTTTGGAAACGCAAAGTTCCGAGGCTGATGAGCCTCCATGGTGTCCACACAAGCAGCAATCAGAGAGGAAAAAGACACACAACTACGAGAATTCTTTGGAAAAAGTGGAAAACAAAAAGCAGCGGATCAGCGAAGGCGTGCAAGCGAAAAGCGTCCGGGGATGTGCATCACACAGTGTACATGGTCGTAGGCCATACCGGTAGCCCTATATGCACGTACACTCGCATGTGTTACGGGTAGGGCTCCCTGGTGAAAGCCAGGAAGTCGTACGACCCCCTACGACTCCCTGGTGGAGGCCATGCAGCCTTGCAGGGCCTTCAAAAAAAACGTGGTCGGGCGAAAAAGTGGTCATGTCATTAAGCAAGCAGTGTAGGGAAATTATTGCCACTGCCTACTGACCAGTACTTTGGCCGAGTGGTTGTGGGCTTTCCTGCTAATCGCAAGGTTCTGAGTTCAAGACCAGTGCTGACACCAGTGAGCGTGTACATTGTTAACAAATGCTGTGATGCAAGCGTGAAGCACTTTACATGCAGTTAACTGCTCTGACAACCACTGTCAACTGTGTACTCACTACCCTGTATTCGTAGTGAGGGTAACATAGATGCAGCTAACGAGGTTTGCACCTTGTCAGGCATTGCTTGTGATCAAGAGTACATGAAAACCAGAGTGTGCAGCTCGGATGGGTTGCTGTCACGGCGAAATTCCGTGATTACATCATTTTAGTGATGTAGTGCGTACAAGCAGGATTCAAGCAGGTCTCTTTCTGCACAACTGCAGCTCAGTTGTACGCACTACGCCATTTCCCGCCTAGATCTGGGCCAAATATGATGTAATCACGGAATTTCGCCGTGACAGACACCCATAGCAGAAAAGGCCCCAAGCTGCACACTCTGGTTTTCATGTACTCTTGTTGTGATACTAAGTTAGCCTCGCTGTCACGTGCTACATCTGCCACCCTGGTATGTCAGGCATGGTGGTGGCCTTGTACAAGCAAAACTTCCTAAACTAGTTGTGTTTCTCAACACAATTGCATAGCCGATTTGGTTGCGTATCTGCGATCTTTACTTTCTTCTGCTTATGTACTTCAAATAGGGAAGGGTGTTTTAAAGAGGATCTGGGAACTACACAGCTCAATAAGACCTTTCTGGTTTCTAGGGATGACGACACCGCCACATGAAAATACCACATGAAAAGACCACATGCAAAGGTGTCAGATGCCGCTTTTTTACGGATGGAGAGGAAAATTCAGATCCAACAATATAATTATGGGAAAGGTGAAAACCCACTTTCTGCATCAATGTTGCCCTGTTTTCCACACCTCGTGTTCCCAACTCACTGTGGTGTACAGCACAATTGAAGCAATCCTCTTCAAGTCAGGACTTGATCATGATACATATACCTGTCATTGCACAATCATGGTCTGAGAACTCACTCACTGGGCCGGGCTGACTCATTATGTTGGAAATGGTGCAGTACATTTCACTGAACTTTACCTAGGACTGATTCAACGGTTCTATACTTCATTGTTGAGTAATTCATGAGTAGAACTTACAGTGGTGAAGTGGATAGGAAAATCCCACAGCTTCCATGACCAGCGTGATGCTCAGCATGGCCTGATACATTCAACAGGAAAGAACAGAAAACAGATTTTAAAACTATCCCTGTCTCTGTGCAGAAGTATTCGATTATAGGAATGGGTATCAAATCATCAAGGTTAGCATAACACATACCTAACCAGTCATGTGTTCATTATCCACATAGAAAATAATTCATTTTTTCGCATAGAATCCCATGCAAACTGAAGTTCTCTTTGAGACCTGAGCAAGCCCATAGATCAAGTTGTGTTGCAAGATAGTGTGAAGTAGACATTTGCACACAAGTAAACTAACACTAGCATACAGGGAGCACACATGGTGTATTGAGCACATTCAACTTTACCAGCATCATCTTGCCGAGCGGCAGTGGACTGACTGGCTTGATCAGAGTGTGACTGGCTGCCAGAAGGAATGCTCTCTGCCGAGTCTGATTGAACAGCGGTGGCAGTAGCTCCGGCGGAGACCGGCTGGACGGCTTGCACCCGACGCTTCCGGAATATGTCCGGGAAATCGGTGGCCAGCTGCAGTGTGGAGAGTAACAAATATACAACAAGCAACACACATGGCTCTGATATCAACATCAGCTAGTGTCAATATCATCCACACCACTGGGAGTCAAATCAATGAGAGGTACACGGCCGAGAATACATTGTGCATTACGTAATGGTAGGTTACAGATGTTTTGTTGAGTAAAATGTTAGAGCAACTTGCATACATCAACAGAGAGACATAGGCAGAGAGAGGGGGGGGGGGAAGTAGAGAGAGACTGAGAGAGAGAGAGAGAGAGAGAGGCAGATCGATAGAGAGAGAGAGAGAGAGAGAGAGAGAGAGAGAGGAGAGAAAGAGAAAGAAAGAGAGAGAGAGAGAGAGAGAGAGAGAGAGAGAGAGAGAGAGAGAGAGAGAGAGAGAGGGAGAGAGAGAGACTGAGAGAGAGGGGCATACGCAACAGGCGATCAAACTCACCAGATCTTCATGCTGCCGTAGCACCTTGCAGATCTTTGCAAAGCGCTTGGCGTTCGGTGATTTCACTAGCAGCTGGTGGAGCTTGGTCAAGGTGTGATGGTAGTCGGTAACTGCCCAGCTGTGGACCAATGCTGCTGCAGCGTGTAGATGATTACTGTGCCCACGTGATGAAGATGATGATGTTAGGCCCAGGCAGGTGGCTAGTGCAGGCAGGTCGGACTCACCAAGGCTTTCTCGGACGGACTCAAAGGACTTTGCAGAGAGCAGTGAAGCATGGTTGACCGGCCATTCGAGAAGAAGCGGGGCATGATCATCGTAACTGTAGGTAGTTGAGAGAATATCCTGTGTCGCTACGGACGCTCGGACTTGCTCTGCATCGTACACAGCGAAATCAAACTTGTCGCTTGGCTCGCGAAGGTGCTGACGAATGGAAGCAGAGCTGAGGATGCTCGTGGAGTAATTAGTGCCCGGGCTATACTGTGCAGCAAGCCTATCAAACACCTTGCGCAACAGAGCCAGCAGACAATAGCCATCTAGCGTATCTTCAACGGGCGCATGGACAACAGCGACAGCTTGGCGCAGGCTGTCCGTGACGGAGATGCAACCACGGGCTGTAGAATGGACTGGAGTCACTACCACCAGATTCTTCCAGAGCTCAGCAGGAATGCCATGAAGCTCGTGGAAATAGGCGTACAGCTCTGTCTGCAGCCTGATAACTAGAGCAGTGGAGAAGCAGTGCTGAGTCGTGAAAGAGACTCCTACGCACGCCGACCGAGGTGATGAATCTTTCTTGGCCAGTGGGCCGAGGCAGTTGTCAGCGGTCGGAAGACGGCTGGGTGCCAGGATCCTTTCTTTCTCCTGCAGCAACACACCTAGTTGTATTACCATCTGCAGCAGCAGAGGGCCTTGGCCTTCTGCTCCCTCGCAGCTGTTAAGCTTGTCAAGGACTTCCTGGACCTTTGCAACACCATCTTTGAAGTGGAGCATAACTTCATCGTCAAGCCCAGGTGGTGCAAATATCAGACCAATGACCTTGGAGAGCAACCAGTTGGGTCGGTTAACAATGATGTCGTCCAGCTCAGGTGATGAGAAAGAAACAATCTAGAAACAAAAACACGATATACAAACCCATACACACAGCAACACACATAATTGTAAGCCGACGCACGATATATGCCAAAACATGGATACACACACATTCCACACGCATGCGCAGACAGGATATTAAAAAGGCCAAATACCTCCAAAATAATACAAAACAAAGCAAGTCACCCAGGCAATCCTCGACGCGTCATGACATCACACTTCGCCTGACCCCACATTGAGTGGCAATGAGGAACTGTTAAATGAACCATCCTAAGTTTTAAAGAAATGAATGTAAGGGAAACGGGTACAGATTCCCTGGCTTGAGTTGCGCGGAAATCAGTGCCGTATCCTCTCATGGACACAGATACAACCCTCTGGTGCCAGCCAAAGCAGGACTATGCAGCACACCTTTATAGAAACTCACTGTTGAAGATCAATCCATCAAAGGTGTAAAGCACAATGCACCCGTTCTCAATGATCTCTTTAACAGCCTAAAGCCAGCAATCTGTAGGTGATGTCCCCTGCTGTCAAGCCCCAGCTAGCCATATTGTGCACAGCAACACACTAAACCTGTCCCACAATTTTCACTTCACCTTGAAGTTTCCAGCAGCCTTACACTTACTAGTATCGGCAAGAGTACATAACCCCCCAGAGTGTGCAACGCCTGATCCAGCTCTGCATAGGGTCTTGGTCGAGCGGAATCGGATCTTTGCGTCATAATACCGTACAAATCTGACGGGAACCCGGGGAGTCACGGGTACTCTCGTATCAAAAACAATGGTGCCCTGCCTCGAGACCGGCCTTGTGCTGCTGTGGAGTGTACGCATGACATCAGAAGATCCGATTCCGCTCGACCAAGACCCTATGCAGAGCTGGATCGGCAATGCACACTCTGGGGGTTATGTACTCTTGGTATCGGTGAAAAACTGGTCTAGCACTGAATGATAGATAATAAACTACAGCTAATGGCAGGATGGGCATCGTAATGTTCTAGATATGGGCTGTAAAAGAAGTAGGAACAAATCAAACCGGTTGCATCTTTCCCTAAAACCAACGAAGAAGAAGGGTAGGAGGAAAAGTTTTTTTTGTTGTCCCTGAGACGAGCATCATTTGTTGGAGTTGTGGAGGGGGGGGGGGGCAAAAATCGCAAGTCGACCGACACTACAGTCAATTCCTCGGAAACTGTCTCGCTGGCTTTTGAAAGTTCGATCTGGGCCGAATTGAGGATCAAAAACCCACTTTAAATCTCAAGAATCTCATTCTGGGTTTGGAATTTGCTTCTCCACATATTTTGCCATGGCATACCAGTGCAAATTTTATGAACCTGGCTGAATGTCTACTATGTGAGAGGGACACCAAAAAGGTAGGGTGCCAGTTTCCAATAAATCGGGAAAAAATCACAAGTCGACCGATACTATACATTATGTACATGACTACATATACATGCATGCAATTTTCCTCATCCAGCATAGCAAGCTGTGTTTGTTTCATAGGGACTGGAGGGTGTGCGAGTAAGAAATGAGCGATGTTCATTTCAGGGACGATAAAACACTTTTGCGACGATCCCTTAGAGATGTACATGACGTAGATGACATACATCATAACATGAAATACATCTACTGCGAGAAAATTGAAATTACTCAATCTGCAGAGTATGTACATACCAGACCATACGCATTGAGGATCTTGCGATATCGACGGATTTGTGCGGTGTTGATGCTGTCTTCATCGTCATCATACTGTACGTGGCTAGCAGCACAAAGCTGTCGAGAGAACTCCCGACTTGTTGAGAATGGCTCTTGGATGTTGTCATGCAGTTGTGCCAATATTTCCTCTGCCTGCCCAAGCACTTTGGGTTGCTTGCGAGATTTCTGAACATGCACATCAACACAGTGGGTAAAGTACTCTCTGTTCACAAACCTGATTAAACACTTTATCGTTATTGATGTATGCATACGTCACTGACAACGAACACAATCCACTAATGACGTACTTCCTCCGTAAGCAAAACTTCATTGCATATTTACAGTTCAGTCTAAAGCATTCTATGGCTACAAACACACTTTGAAAAGTGGAAAACACAGTAGCATTTCAGAGATGTATATAATCATACACGGTCTGGAGGGCTTGATGGCTGAATCATGCCTGAGCTCCCAGCCCGAGGGCCGTAGGCCCGAGGGCTGGGAGCGAGGGCATGATTCAGCCAGCAAGCCCGACAGACCGTGTATGATTGGATTTCTTACTTGACCCATGCGCACGCACGGAACGTAGCCTACTCAAACATTGAAACAAGCCAAAGACTAGCACAGTTCGGTGAAAAGTCACTCTGCACTAGTCACAGCCAGAACACACGAAGTAACAAGAGTCAAGAAGACAAGCGACATTCCTTTCTACATGCACTTCCACTTCTTTCTTCAAAACCCGCACATTGTCACATTAATGGCTACATCTCGTTGCCATGCACTTGACCACGGGCATGGTTGTCAATCATACCTAAAGTGACGTCAGTGTTGCCAAGGGCAGCGGGCATGATGGCTCAATCATGCCCGCGGCGGGAAAGGTGGTGATTAGACAATTCGTAGGATACGATCACGTGTCATGTAAGAATAGTTATTTACAGATGTCACACAGCTCGTTTCAAAGCAGTCCAGCTTCACTCTTTGTCTGAATCTCATGACGACTCACTCCATGATGATATCGAGTGTGCATCCTCGCTGAAGTTGCCAAAACACTAACTAAACATGGAGATCACCAAGTTCTTTGCCCGAACTGTGAGCTTGACGACCTCCACAGTGGCGCTGTTAGTTGTTGTCTCTGCCACTCTCCAGAATGCCGTGATGGAAAGAGGCATACAGACACAGGCAAACGCTCCTCATCTTGGCAACGGGGTATTCATGCCAACACGTTTCCACAGCTTGCAGAAGCTTTTTTCTGGTTTCGTTCGTCGCAAGTGACAAGTTTGCCTGCAGGCTGTGGAAGAATACCAAGTCGTCTAAGTTGAGATTGGGACTTTGAGTCAGCTGAATGGCAACCCGAATGTCAAACCCTTTTGCTTTCTCTGCGCTGCTAACACACGTGCATTGATTTTGGCTGTGTGCGGACGTGCAACATCGTGCTGGTACGGCATTCAGTGGCTGGCCGGCTTCTTCGAGCAACGCATCTTTTAAACAGTTTTTCATTTTCGCACTTCGGTGTCATCTGGGCCTGGCTGGGTTTGTGTTCTGGTGCCGATTTTCGAAAGAACTTCACCCTTTTCGGAGGTTTAAAAGCCTGTCAGAACAATAGTGGACACTGCGGCTACCCTATGTAGGGGATAGGTCACTGAAATGTTTGTCTATTGCCGACAAAAGAGACCATGAAAAGAAGACAATAAACACAACGAAGTTTTGTGTAATCATCATCATCATCATCATCATCATCAGCAGCAGCATCATCATCATGTGACCAAGCCGCTTTTACGGGCAACAATATTATGAATATAAAACGCAAGGTATTGTAAGAACAATTTTCTGAAAATAATGTTAAAACACGAAATATAAAAATGCATTATCACACCGTAGCCACTTTTATGGGCAAATTCCAATACAAGGCAATAAGAAAACGAGGATGAAGTTAACCTTTTAACCCAAAGAAAAGACAAAAGATGTCAACAATAGAACTACAAATATAAAAAACAAACATCAGGTCATAAAAACTACTTTAAAACATAACCAAATGACAGCAAAGCGTGAAGAATGAGATTGACTTACAAAACAAAAGTAGTCCTACTATGCTTACAAAACAGAATCTACCTACACCACTAAGGAAAAAACATTAAATGATTGCAGTCTCACAAACACCGGCCTCTATCTAACGACCCATCAAACAATAACTCCTGAAATTCTTGACTGACTTTTTCTGGTAGGAGCTACGGCAGCCACGAAAACAGGTCACTGCCCAACGGAGTAAAGTGAACGAGAGCAGGCACCGCAATCGACCCATAACCAGCGAGTAGGCCAAGTCACTGTGTTTATCGACATACTGGGCTGCAAGACACTTGAGAAAGCGGTCTGCCTCCCGGCCACACATGCCATTCGTGGCGAAAACCAACGGGGTGAACGTGCCTCGGTCTATATTCACAACACGCGCTCCGTATTCCCGCTTTTTCATGCCTTCATGCTTTTGGAGATGGCGCTGGACTTCTGGACGCGACAGCAGGTTTGGCTTTGGGTGAGTCACCCGAACATCAAAAAAAGCCTCCTGCTGCCTGGACCAGAAACCCCGCGCCCTCACATCGAGGCGAGCTTCGGATTTCCTGTCGGCTGTACGATGGGGAAGATCCTCCCCATCAAATGGCGCTAGCACCGGCTCCACCTCCACGTCAGGCAATACCTCCGACAGTACACCCGCCAGCAAATCGCGAACATCATTATGGCGTGCGATGGTGTAGCCGCCAGTAGGACAAGCCATTGCATGCTCAGTGGTTAGAGTTGCTCCACAAACACAAGTCTCAGGGAGGCCATCCAGCTCCAAACCGTATCGGAAGCAGAGAGCATCCCGGAAATCAGATTTATTGAGTATGGTTACTGGCTGATTGTATGACGGTTGGGCGGTCAGCCAGCTGGAGGTGCCTTTCTCACCCGCTGTTTCTAACAGTAGCCGCTGGCACGGAGACAGTCCAGGGCCAATCTCTGCCTGCACACCACGCGAAATCTGGTCCCGCTGTGCTCTCACCTGGCGCAGCCCAGCACGCACCGCAGCAACAGCCTCAGCGACACCACACGGACCACTAGGATTAGTCTCGCCAGGCTCTTCGACGCCTAATCCCACGGCAACAGGCTCCGCACGCAGCGCAGAGAGCGATCCGGCATCAGGTAGTTGGTCAAGATCAGGCGTCATCATCATCATCATCATCATCATCATCATCATCATCATCATCATCTGAAAGACATTGATATTCTAAAGCTCCCGACACGGGATGGTGGGATGGCCCTTCCGGACCTCACGACTCGACCACGGTTTGAGCACCAGGGCTCCAAGCAAGTGTCCGGACCTATGGTGAAGGAGGTTCTGGGCGATTTCGCTAAGGATAGCGATCCAATTTCTCTCGCTGGAGATGTGCCGGCTTCTGCAGATACTGCTGACCGTGGTGGAGCGTCTCCCACTCCCACGATGACGGCAACGGAGGTGCAGCCGCGGGAGGTCGCTGGCAACTCAAACCCTGGACCGGATGTGGCTGCTGATGTTGCTGGTGCTGGTACCCCCTTTCAGAGGATGATCGATGAAATGCGTCACAAAAAGCGTGTCGTCCACACCGAAAACCGGGAGCGCGCAAAGGCAGCCAGGAACAAAATAGTGGACACGAGCGATGAGATGACGAAGCGACGAATAGAAGAACACACGGAGAAAGGATCATCCTCATGGCTGAGCGTGCTGCCCCTGGCGGAGCATGGCTTTCGTCTCACCAAGCGTGACTTCCGGGATGCTCTGGCATTGAGATATGCATGGCCGCTAGCCAATACACCAGCAACCTGTGTGTGTGGTGAGCTGTTCTCAGTTGAGCATCAGCTATGTTGCGCCAGGGGCGGCTTCCCGACACTTCGTCATAACGAGATACGTGACCTGCTGGCGAGGGAATTGACTGAAGTCTGCACTGCCGTTTCGACAGAACCAGCGCTGCAACCTCTTTCTGGTGAGAGGTTTCCTCTTCGGTCAACGAACCGCCGAGAGGATGCGCGCCTGGACATAGCCGCTCGAGGGTTTTGGACCCGTGGGGAGGAAGCTTTTTTTGATGTAAGGGTATTTTGCCCAGATGCTCCTTCCTACGGGTCCAGAACCCTTCCTGCATTGTACCAGCAGCACGAGCGGCGTAAGTGGAACGAATATGGGCCAAGAGTCACAAATGTAGAAAGAGCCGCTTTCACACCTCTCGTGTTCTCTGTGCATGGTGGTTGTGGGAGGCTGTGCAATGTGTTCCTCAAGAGACTGTGCCAGATGCAGGCCGAGTCATCGGGATCTCACTATTCCCAGGTCATTGGTTTACTCCGCTGTCGGCTGTCTTTTGCTTTGCTGCGTGCTGCTGTGTTGTGCATACGTGGGGCTCGGTCACGGTACCACCATCCGGCGAGATGTTTTCATGATGTCTCGATTGCCGTGGCCGAGTCAGGTCTAGTTTGTTAAGTATCGTGCTGTGTCCTGACTGTGCATGCGGGATTGGTATGGCGCTTACCCTTTTGTTGCTGTTTTGTTGCTTTCATGCCTTTAAGCATGTAATTGTGTTCATTTGTTGTATTTCATGGAAAAACGATCTTTGCGTTGGATTCATTTAAACTATTATTTGTGTAGGGTTCCACTCCTTCATCTTGGGAAATTGTGTTGTGTTTGCCCAAAGAAGTGGCTTCATCATCATCAAAAAAAAAAAAATCATCATCATCATCATCATCATCATCATCGTCGTTGATGAGTTATTATCGTTGTCGGGTGTCTTTCGCGCTGCTACGTTCCGCTGTGTTGTGTGTCAGGGGTGCTCGGTCGGCCCGTCATCGTCCAGTTCACATGCTTCGTGAGTTGGCGATGGTGGAGGGTCGGGTTCCCCTGCAGTGATTGGTGCTGCGCCGAGCTAGTTTGGTGTGAAAGTGTAACTTATGTTATTATTCTTATATATACATCAAGTAGTACTAAATAATTGAGAGGCTTTGAATCGTTTTTATCAAAATCAAAATATTTGCCGGGTTGGAAGGTGGGATCAAAAAATCATCATCATCATCATCATCATCATCATCATCATCATCATGTGACCAAGCCGCTTTTACGGGCAACAATATTATGAATATGAAACGCAAGGTATTGTAAGAGCAATTTTCTGAAAATAATGTTAAAACACGAAATAATT